CCATTGCATGTAGGTAGATTTATATATACTCATTTTGTATAGGTTCCTTTTCCAGATTTTAATTGAGTTCTTAGTTTGTATTACATTATTTAGCATTATACATTATTCATATCTTTTCCAAGTAGGTTATAAGCAATTTGAGAGTAATGTTTTTCTGAAAGCTTTCTTACTGTTCACTTAAGTACCTAGTTCTAATTTCACAGAAACTAGGAGTGTTCTCTCCATATTTTTGTTAAATTTTGAACAATGTTTGTAGGGATTTAATTTTTTATAAAGCGTATAGTTTTTAGGATGTATTGTAATTTTCAGTTATTCCTCTTTTAAAAATGTTTTCATAAAGTTTAAATTTTTTTAATAGATAGATGATTATGAAGAAGAACCAATGTTAAAACCTGGATGTAAAGAATATTTTTGGTTGTTGTGCAAATTAGTTGACAACATACATATAAAGGATGCTAGTCAGGTATGTTCAGTAAATTACACATTGACTTGTTAATAGAGATGAATTATGCACATATATGTTTATGACTTTATAGGTCTTTATAATTAAGGGCATTTTTCTCATTCTGTAATAAGATGAAAATGTCGTAATTTTTCTTCTGTGTTTGTATCTTTCTGTTCTGCTCTAATTACTTTCTTCTTTTTACTTTGACCTTAGTTGAAATGTCTTCGTTTGGTACTTATAGGTAATTTCCTGTGACTTATGAGTAAGATTTGTGGATGTAAAGTCTGACTTGGAATGTGAAATTTAGACTTTAAATATACAGCTTTCTGTAATAGGAAGTGGATACTGAATACATAAAATAAAATTACAATTCAAATAGAAGTTACTTTAAAGAAACACTATCAGTTTACTGATCTACCAATATTCTTATAGTAGGCTAAAATGATACTTCCATTCAAACAAAGAAATATTTAAAGCAAATTGATTTCAAAGGCAGACTTGTCACATAAAAACTTTTTTTCTTTTTTGTAAATTAAGTAGGCTAAAATGCATCTAATTGAGCTCAGAAAAAATGAGAAACCCTTGAAGATGCTACATTTAAATATTTAGGAAACATTTTCTATCAGTTTTTTTTCATGTATTTCAATCAAAGTCCAGTATATATACACTTAATGTTTTTAAAATCCTGCAGTATTTGAACTTCCTACTTTAAAGGAACAGTTCACGTCTGAATTTTTTTAAATATTCTACTTTTCATTTGAGAAAAAATTATAAAAATTAATATTGAACATGTTTTAATTTTTTCTTCTAGTTTTGCTGAGTAATTGGCATACAGCACTATGTAAGTTTAAGGTGTACAGCATAATGATTTGACTTAAATACATCATGAGATAATTACCACAATAAGTTCAGTGAACACCATCATCACATACAAAATTTTAAAAATAGAAAAAAAGTTTTTTCTTGTGATGAGCACTTTACTGTCAGCAGTTTTCGTATAAAACATACAGCAGTGTTAATTGTATTTATCATGCTGTGCCTTTCATCCCTAGTATTTATTTATATCTTTTGACTACCAATTCCAGTTCCCCTTCCCCCCACAATGTGTTTAAATATACTTGACTTAAATACATTTAAGTCTGTTTTTACATTTAATATTGATTTCTTTTTGGTGGGAGTGGGGAGGTAATTAGGATTTTGTTTTCTTTTGTTTTGTTTGTTTTTAGAGGAAGTACTGGGGATTTCACCCAGGACCTCCTGCACACCAAGCATGTGCTCTACCACTGAGCTATACCCTCCCTTTTAATATTAATTTTTACATTTAATATTGTCTATAAAAATATTGATGCCAGATTTTTTAAAAAAAATCAATGATTACCTTTTTAAAGTAGGAATCTAATATTTTTTGCTTGCTAGTCAAAGTAATTTTCCTTCTTAAAGATCTGAATTTCTTTGAGAATCTTAAATTAGTTCTATTTTAATTTTATTTATTGCTCAGTATAATGAAAATTAAAGCTTTATTAAATTAACTGCACTTTTAAATTTATTTCTAAAGGTAGTGTTAAAAGCAAACCTCAGTGGGTGAATTATATGGTATATGAATTACATCTCAATAAAATTGTTAAAGAAAAAATGAAACAACAACCTAGTGTCTTCTCGATAAATTACTGTGACTCTCATAATTTATTACCAATATTCCGTTGATTCTTTTTTAAAAGACTCAGTGATATGTTTACAACTAAAATTTTATTGATATTTATGTATAAATAAAGATTAGTTATATTATTTATAATTAAATTGGTATACTAATGATTTGAAAGAACCAAACTTTTGTTACTTACAAGGAAATGATTTTTTTTTTAATAATGTCTAAAATACTTAACATAAAAATCTTCACTGGAATTTTGTGTTTTCTCTTTGTACTAAGACAACACTCCTCGACCTAGATGCTTTGGCACGACATTTGGCTGACTGTATTCGGAGGTAAACTTTGATGTAAGATTGACAATTATTTTGGTGAAGAAAGAAAGGACATAATTATATAAACTATTGTATTCTTTTTTGTAGCAGGGAGATCCTTGATCATCAAGATGGTAATATAGAAGATGATGGGCTTACAGGACTCCTAAGGCTTGCAACAAGTGTTATTAAACACAAACCACCCTTTAAGTTTTCAAGGGAAGGGCAGGTGAGTTTTAAGACTTCCAAATATTTATATGAAATAAGATTAAACTTTTTTGTTGTTTCCTTATATGTGGGTGTGTTAAATTTCCTTAAACATGCAAACTATAAACTTTACCAAAAGTTTATTGCTGGCAGAAACAGTGAATTTTGAATAAAATGATCTCCTGAAATACAAATCTTAGCCTTATTCTTAGAATTTAGAAACAATTTTTAATTCTCATGACTGTATAGAAAGACAACCTCTACTTTAATGGTATGTTTTTATAGGATTGAATATTTTGAGTTAATAACTTACACAGTGGAATTAATAAGTACTTGTTAGAGTACTTAGCTCATTTGTTTCATATCTTAAAGGCCCATTTGACATAAAATCTGTTGACTATTTGATAACACCTAATGACTTTACACCAAGAAATGTGTAATTGCTCTTTAGATTAAGTTATGACTCTTCCATTGACCCTTTTGTCATTGCCTTCATTGAGGGAGGGAGTTACGGATTGGAGGGTTGTTTTCTTAAGGCCACTGATTGTATTAGGGAACACAAGAATAACCAAAAGAGTGGAAGTTTGTCCCGATGGGGACAGGCTAAGGGATTCTTGAGATAAACTTAAGGTGACAGTCTTATCTGTCTTAACTCTGTGCTACTTCTCCTATTTCACAAAGCCCCATTTTGTGTTTTTTCTTCTGGGTCCTTATTAAATTTTTTCATTACACTCATTGGGAATAACTTGATTGATTTATAGTCTTGATGATTGAAGTTTTATTTTATATATAAACCAATATGTAATTTATATTACAAAATATAAATATATTAACTGATTTTCTGATAACATTATTGTAAAGCAAAACTCATTTTAAAGAAAGAAAAAAATTTTTAGGTATTACTGACAAAGAGAAGATTCCCTTATTTTAATTTCACATGATGCCTTGGTAAATGGCCTTCTGGACTTTCTGTGGCTATATTAAACACACAGGTATATAATTTATATTATGTAAATACCATCCTGTGATCTGTGTTCTTTATTTTTAAATGAATACATCAAAAAAGAAAAAATACATTAAAAATCGAATACATGAAAGAGGGAAATAATTTAATCTTTATTAACATTTATGTTAAGAGTTTGAAAAACACTGTGCAGGGAACATTCTTGTACACCTGTCTTATTATACACTTATGTAAGTTCTTAAAAGTAAATTTGATTCTTTTTAATCAGAATACATTGGTTTACAAAAGGCTCTTGTCAGTGTATGCTCCCAGCCACACTACCTAAGAGTGCCAGCTTCTCAGACATCCTCACATTCCTTACATGACGTTTCAGTCTTTGCCACTCTCACTGTTGCTTTAGTGTTATTTCTTTGGTGAATGTTGAAGATGAGTGTCTTTTCATTTGTTTTGTCCACTTGTATTAACTAAGTTCTTCTTTTGGTTTTAAATTAAAAAAATTTTTTTTAAATTTAGCTTGTGATTTTCCATTCATAACCTGCATGTATTCTTTTGTTATTTTTTTGAATTTATTGTCAAAAGTTCTTTATTTTGAAAATATCAACTCTTTTTTCATAATACAGGGAATATTTCCAAAATTCTCATTTAATTTATCTTCATTATTCATGTGCTTTTTATACCACTTGTTTCTCTCCTCTCTTTTGTGTATTGGTTCATACAAATGATTATCTTAGGCAAAATGTTTAAGCTCTTATAAGGTAGATACTGTTATTAGACCCCATTTTGACAGATGATGGAACTAAGAAGGCAGAGAGGTTAAGCAACTTGCTTTACTGATGACACTCAGACTCTTTACCTGACCAAGTTTCTAACCACTATTCAGTACTGTCTACAGATGTTAAAGCCTTACGCAGTGTTCTATAATTTGCTCTTTTCACCTACCTTAGAGATTCCCCATATCAATATATATAGAGTTAATTTCATTCTTTGTAACAACTACATAATATTCTTTTTCTGGAACAATGTAATATATTCTAACTGGCTTATCTTATACTGTTACAAATGATGTTGCAGGGAAAATGTTCATGCATCCATCGTTTAGGAAATCTGTAGGAAAAAATTCTGGAAGTAGAACTGCTGTTTGATGAGTTACGTGCTTTTATGATTTCGGTCAGTATAAAACCATATTGTCCTCTATGGAGGCTGAGCTGATTTATGGTTCCACTTAAAATATATGTGAGCCAGGTGCCTATTTTCCCATATTCCTACCTATCTAGTGTATTATCAAGTATTTAATTTCTGCCAGTCTGATAAGTGAAAAAGATTCTCTTTATTTTTTATTTTTTGTAATTATGTGTAAGATTGAGCTTCTTTTTACATGTGTGCCATTTATTTGTGTTTTCTTTTCTCTGACCTGCTCAAATCCTGTTCTCATTTTCGTTTTATGTGTATACTTGGTCCTTTTCTTTAGAAATTGTAGGATTCTTGTATAAAGGAAACAGCCGTATATACTTGGATTTATTTCTGGACTTCCTGTTTCACTCTGCTTACCTGTTCATTCACCAATATCATACTCTAATTATGTAGATTAACAGTTGTTAGTATCTTGTAGAGATGATCCATCTTCCCTATTACTCCTTTTCAGAATTTTCCTGGTGGTTTGTTTTTTCATATGAACTTTAGAGTCAGTTTGTCTCATTCTTTCAGAAAATAAATTCTAATACTTTTTAAAATTGGAGTTTGCTAAATTTATGAAAAATTGAAATTATATTAAATTTGCCTATACAAGAACAAGATTTATCTTCTTATTTATACAAAACCAATCTTCTTGTGTTTTTCACTTTAAAGTTTTCATTTAGAATTTGAATTTTAGGAATTTTTCAATGAGGTTATTCTTAGGAATTTTATCTTCTTTATTGGTAACATATATGGACTCTACAGTTGTGTTTTCTAACTAGTTGTTTATATATAGAGTAATGATTTTTGTGTATGAATTTGTTGCATGCCAAAAAGTTCACTTACTGTTTGTAGATATTTTTTTAGTTAACTCTACTTTTATCTCTAGTATCAAAATCTTTATTTGCTTTTCATAATTGCCTTCAAGTAATTGTTTTATTTCTTTATTTTTAAGTCTTAAGTCTCTCCATCCTTTCACTTGTCTTATTTTGTCTAGAACCTCCAGAGCAATGTTAAATAAAGTTTTTATAGTTTACTAGTAGTTGTTTATTGAGAAGTTTTTAATGTTTGTGTAGTCAAAACTACAGATTCCCATTGTGTTTTGGATGAGATGGGAAACCTTTGGGAGCTTTTGTACAGGAGAGAGATGTGGTCTGAATTAATATTTTAAAAGCTTCACTTGTTGGGGGAGGCAAATAACTCAGTGGTAGAGTGCATACTTAGCTTGCTTGAGGTCCTGGGCTCAATCCCCAGTACTTCAACTTAAAAAAATTAAATAAAAGCTTCACTTATGTTCTCTGGGGAGATATAGACTAGGTAGAGAATTAAGAGGGCAGGTGTGTGTGTCATGGATCCAGTTAAGAAGTTTTGCAGAGAGATGATGGTGAAAAGTGGTTGGATTTTAGGTATTTATTGAAAATAGAGCTCATAAGACTTAAATTTCTATAAGATTGTGAGGTGGAAGAGAGAAATTAATCAAGAATAACTGGTCAATTTTATGCCTTAGAAACTTAAGAAATGATAATGCCATTTGCTAAGAAAGGGAAAGCTCAGGATAGATAAGATTGGGGAAGGCTGAGGTGTCAAAATCAGAAGTTCTATTTTGAACACGTTAAATTTGAAATGTCAATTAGAGATCCAGCTGTAGGTGCTTAAGGCAGTTGGTTTTGGTGTATTTTTATGAAAAGTCTTCCTTATCTCTAAGATACTAGAAATACTTTTTCTGCTATGATGTTTTACTTATTTAAGAATTTTAAAAAACTTTATTTGTAATTTGGTTTTGGGAGTCAGTAAATGTTTTCTGTAAAGAGCCTTATAGTAAGTATTTTTTTGGTTTTGCAGGCCACATTTGGTATCTCTCACCACCATCATCACTACTGCCACTGCTACTAATTCTTCCTCTCCTCTCTCTCCTCCCCCTCCTCCTTCCTTCCTCTTTCATCTTCTTCCTTCCTTTCATTCCCTCCTTGCTTCTTCTCATTCTCCTTTAAAAATATAAACCCCATTCTTATCTCTGCTACCTTGTATAGTATCTGGCAAATACATGTTGAATAATAGATGATTAAGACTCAACTCTGATTCTTAAGAACTGATGGTCTAATGGTTCATTTGTTCAGCAGGTAATTATTGAGACATCTGCCTTATGCAGAATTTGTATGTACCTTCACAAGTAATGACTGCTCATGATACTTTTAATTCATAGTTTAAAAAAAAAAAGAGCCAGTAAAGGGATCCTGTCAGAGATACGGAAGATCAGATAACACTGACATGATTAGGAAAGGCTTTAAAGAAGATAAAGCTTTTGTAACCAGGACACAATTTTCTTAAGTAGAAAAATAAGGGAAGCATCTGATTTCACACAAAATAACATGAGTGAAAAATAAGTCTTAGGAAGCCACTGGTTATGTGCAGAATATTGAGTGGTTAGTTCAGTTTGGCTTCAGTTTGAGGAAGTATAGGAGGTAACTCTGGGAAGCTGGGTGGCCATTATTGTGGTCACAGGAAATTACTTGTATGTGTACAATAAAATAAAAGCATTACTTTTGTAATTTAAAAACTGGGGTCTTCAAAGTTTTTGATCAAATAACAGGAATATGCTTTAACAAACTAGATCTGGTAACAGATTGAGAGCCAATATACTTTTTCAAACAGTTTTTGAAGTGGCTTTCAAACTGTTATTGTTCATATATTCTTTAAATAATTTTGGGAAATCTAGGTATCCTCTCACAGATTTTTAAATTTTAAGAAATTTCTAGAGCTTTCAGGTTTTTAACTTTTTTATTGTAGTTGATGCACAATACTATATAATTTACAGGTGTATAATACAGTGATCAATAATTTAAAGCTTACATACCATTTATTGTTACAAAATATTGGCTGTATTCCCTGTATTGTGCAATATAGCCTGGGCTTAAGTATTTTTAAAGGATATAATTTCCAGGTGATTGAAATTGATAAATACTTATTTTCTGTGACTACATGGTGGTGTCTTATATTTCTCTCATAAATAATTATTGTTACATGTATCTGGACATAGGTAATCAAACCACGTAAATACACTTTGAATTTTGCCAAATAAGTATGAAACATTAAAAATGCAATTTTATTCAAAATATATGCTTTAGGAAGGATATGTGGCTTTAAAATTAATTTATATAGTCATAGATGGCTATTACTTATTAAGCTAGAATGACTATGTGTCCATTAAGTCTTTCACTACTTTATATTTGTATAGGTATAAATTGTGAGAAGCCTTGTTTACAGTAGGAATGGAAGGAGTTTTGTTTAATAATGTTGTTTAGCTCTTTGAATTTCTTCTGAATTACATAGTAAAGATCATACTCTGATCTATCAAAGGAAATTATTTTAATATTCTCAGGTATCAGTTTGAGGGTCTTCTTTCTGTGAAGTATACCAAAATGGCTTTACCATTCTTTATCAAATGGATACATTAATATATACGTTACTCTTTCACTTAGAGATACCGGCTTTCCTGGTAAACTCAGAGGAAGCAAAATAAAAGTATTGTTCATTTCAACATGCTTTACCAACTCTTAATGTTTTGATAAAGTGTTTTTATCTTATCACAAGTGTTAAATTAATTTTGTCAAAACTTTGGCATTATGGGTGTTTAGGTCATTAAGTGTCTAGATCTAAACTGATTAGCAAACATTGTTCATTGTTAAACTAGTTATTAGCCAATTTCATTTCTTTTTTAGTGAGTTTGACTTTATTTTCCAGTTCATGTAAATGCGTTACTCTGTGTTTCCAAGACAGTCATCTCACCTCTCAGTTATAAAATAGTCAAGGTATAATCTTACTATCAGTCTGTCAACTATGTAAAATAAGCTGATACTCACTTTCCAGATAATCTTTCAGATTTACTTCTGTAGTTCTTAGAAACTAAGCATTGTACTATCTTTGACAATAGTGAGATGGAAGAGGTGAGGTCATTAATGGGAAATATTTTAAGTTTTCCTTCATTTGGTGCCTGTGTCAGAGGTTCCCAGGACCACTCCCAGGTTCAGTAATTACTAGGATTCAAAGGACTCAGCACTGTAATTGTATTCATGACAAAGCTTTATTATGGTAAAATAATAGAAAATGAAATCAACAAAAGAAAAAGCATGGGTCCAAGTCTGGTGGAAATCAGGTGCACCATTCTAAGCGCCTTCTCCCAATGGAGTTGCATAGACTGCGCTTAATTGCCCCAGCAATGAGTGTGACAACATGTATGAGGTATTGTCTACTGGGGAAGCTCTCTTGAGCCTAGAAGGCCAGGGGTTTTATCAGGGGATGGGTCATGGAGGTACATAATAACCTGCATAACTTACCACAGTCACTGAATTCCAGATTTCCAGGTGGAAAACAGGTATTCTGCATAAACCAAATACAAATAGTCACAGTGAGCCACTTTAATCACTTAGGGAAAGATTTATAACAGAGGAGGGAATTGTTTACCATTCAAGTGTCCAAATGACAGCCAGTAGCCAGCCTTACAATGCAGCCTCTCTAAGGATAGCAGAGTCTCAGTCTTAACGTTACCTCTTTTCTGCACAGTGCTCCTGGAGGTTTTATACCCCAGAACAATGTACCGTTGTAGTACTTGAGTTGGATGAGGGAGATAATTTTCTTTGGGAGAGTAACAAAGGACCAATTAAAGAACAAGTGGGAAAGGTGACCCTTTCTCAGGCAGATTGAATTTAGGGAAAAGTACATCTAAAATACATTTTATTGCACCTTAGTTTGAACTTAACTGGTATTGAAGTTGAGAGCTTGGTGTTCTGACTGTGGCACCTGCTAACTCTGTGACTCCAGGAAAGATTCTTAACCTTTTTTGTATTTTGTTTTGGGGCTTTTGAATAGTATCTGGCACTTGTAAGTGCTTATTATGGGTAAGTTGCTGCTGTTGCTGCTCCTGCTCTTTTAATTATTAGAATGAAATAAAGAGAAACTTAAGTAACTGCAAAGAGAGTAGAGTCCTGAACAAAAACGTTTGTTCAATGAACGAAGTGGAAAATAATAATGTTGTAGATGGGACTCCTAAGAATGAGCTATCAGGTATCGAGGGGAGGGAAGAGTAATGGTTAGCCTCCCACGCCTACCCCACTCCCACCCCATTTCTCTAAGAGAAGTGAACATTGGGAATACTTTCAGATGATGGTATATGATGCTCCTTTAACTTTTTAAACAGTGTTTTAGTAAATTGTAGATTGTCATACAATCCAGTTTACTCTATGTAACTTACTATATTTGGAAAATAATTAATTTCCAAACTTAGGTAACATACTTGGTCTTTCTCTTTTTTCTAGGAATTTTTAAGGGATATCTTCAATCTCCTGTTTTTGTTGCCTAGTCTAAAAGATAGACAACAGCCAAAGTGCAAATCACATTCTTCAAGAGCTGCTGCTTATGATTTGTTAGTGGAGATGGTGAAGGGGTCTGTTGAAAACTACAGGCTAATACATAACTGGGTTATGGCACAACACATGCAGTGTAAGTAGTCTTCTTTTCCTCTAATCTTTCTAAGTTTTGTTTGCAGAAATGAGATTTTGGAGGGTATGATTTAAAGTATTCACTATTTACACGTTTTAACTTTATAAACTGTTCCTATTGTTGACATAATTGAAGTTAAAAATAAACACTGGTTTTTAAAAAAAACAGGTATGATGGACTTTTTATAGATATCTGAAATACTTCAGCATTTGGGGATTAAATAATTCAGTGCCAAATAAAGTCAAGTTTTGATAGTCCTTTGAATTTTTAGGAATGAACTATTTTAATTATATATTCTTACTAATTAAAAAATTATCATAAATAATGTCATGTATATGAACTTAATAAGTAATGGAGGTAGTAGCTGTGAATGAAAGCAAAATACATTAATAGTTGATTTGGGGGGCATCTTTTCCTTCCTCTTTTTTCAACAGCTCATGCACCTTATAAATGGGACTACTGGCCTCACGAAGATGTCCGTGCTGAGTGTAGATTTGTTGGCCTGACTAACCTTGGAGCTACTTGTTACTTGGCTTCTACTATTCAGCAACTTTATATGATACCTGAAGCAAGACAGGCTGTCTTCACTGCTAAGGTAGAGTTTTCCTTATTTTAAAAATTAAAACCATAAAACAAAATTTAAAATTTTGTTGATCAGTCTTGATTCACTGTAGTAAAATATTGTTTGAGAAGATAATTTTTGAATAAAAAAGTGACAAATTTGATTAAATTACTAGCTAGCTTATGTAAATTTCAATTATTTTTACATTTCAATGGGTTACTCCAAACAATGTAGTATATTTATCAAAGGAAAACACAGTTGTGGAATATACAGTGTATCCAGTAAAAATGACATTTTCAGTAAAAATAAATACAAACTTTAATTATATAGAAAATAAGCAAAGCCTAAAACAAAGAAGGGAAATATTACCAGAATCACTGGACTTGTTTCTTTTATACTTATCCTAAAGTAAATTTGATTGTGGGCCTACTTTGAGTAAACTCTGCTTCGTGATATTTTTGTTAACTTGTTCTTTCTAGTTTTCATTCTTTGCTAACCATGGGCTGTTTTTCAGTTTGCCTTCTGCACTGCTTTTATAATTTCTTAGCAAACTTTCTTATCCTTGCACTTTGGTTTTTGTTTTCCTCTATTTTACCCTGATATCCTGGCAATTTTCTCCTCTAACCAAGTATTGCAATTCTTTATGTATCTTCAGTGAATCCTTAATATGTTTAAGCTGTGCGTTAAGGTCTCCAATTTACTGTATACTTAAGTAGGTTTGTCTTTTGGCTTTAGTTATATTGATGTTTTTAAGTTTACCATCTGAGGCTGATTATGATTAGAAATAGTTGAATAATTGATTTCATTTAGTATGTGGAAATTTGTGAAAGCTACATGTATTTTCATTGTGGTAGAATATACATGGCATAAAAAGTATCATAGTAAACATAAGTGTACAGTTCTGCGGTATTAAGTATATTCACATTGCAACCATCACCACCATAAGTCGCCAAAATTTTTTCACCTTCCCCAGCTGAAACTATGTATCTGTTAAATACTTTACTTACCATTCTGTCTTCCCCCAAACCTTTGCAACCACTATTCTACTTCCAGTCTCTATGAATTTGGCTCTCTAGGTACCTATATAAGTAGAATCATACAATATTAGCCTTTTAGTGACTGGCTTATTTCACTTAGCATAATGTCTTCAGGATTTCATCCGTGTTGTAACTTGTATCAAAATTTCCTTTTTAAAGTTGAATAATATTTCACTATATGCATATACTACATTTTGTTTATCCATTCATCTGTCAGTGGACACTTTGTGGTTGCTTACACCTTTTGGCTATTGTGAATAATACTGCTATGAGGATGAGTGTACAAATATCCATGTGAGTCCCTGCTTTCACTTCTTTTGTGTATATACCCAGAAGTGGAATTGCTTGAATCATATGGCAATTACCATTTTCTATTTTCTTGATAATAGCCATCCTAATGAGCGTGAACATGTATTCTTTTAAGTAGTAAATACACACATATGTAGGGTGTATATTTACTTAGAAATTGTGTATTTGGTTTTATTGGATTTAAATAATTCATTCACTTCTGCAGCCAACTAAGAATTTATTCTCCTGAACAAAAATGTAAATCCAGGTCTTAATTCCTAACTATTTCTTATTCTGAATTACTAACAATTTGCATGTATAATGTTATATACTAGAAATGTCATTTAATGTGACTGTTCTCATAATCTCATGGAATATTAAGCCTCCCATATGCCAAGACTATACTGTAGTTGTTTTTGTCAATTTTGTTGATTCCTTTTATTCAATTCCTCTTGCACTTACTATCGTATAATTTAGTAGTAATTATATGATGAACAGATTTCTATTTCAGAGTCCTTGTCTTGTGCTATTTCACTTGCACTCCCCACAAAATTGACATAACTAGTGGATACTTTTGGCATATTTGAGACTTATTATTCAATGAGACTATCAGCATGTCTTCAAAATTATAACAGGTAGTAATTTGTAATGAGGATATTAACTACTTCATGGGTGTATTTTAATATTTGAATGAGATAGAGTATATCTAACAAGTGCCTGACATGAATGTGGGGCTCTCCTATAAGACTGGTGTTGGAGGACCAAGTCTATTCGTGAATGAGTCTAGCCAGAATCCTGAATCTCAATTAATGTACTTGAATATTTAGAAAAATTTTCAAAAGATCTTGGCCAGTATTCCCCTGCAGTGTTAAGAATCTGCTGTTCTAGAAAAAAGTAAAGATATGAATAGGTGAGGAGGATGGGTTGTCATCTGTTAATATAATGTATTTTTTAATGTATGGGTTTATTTGTGGAAAACAACTTTGCTGCACAAATAGAAGATGTTTTTTCTTCTTGCAAAATCTCCAACTTGTAAATCAGCATTGAACCGAGTAAGTGTTGATCTGGAAAGCAGTTTTTTAAGATCTGTTTATCCAGTTTCTTTACATAACAGTGATGACTGTATTTATATCATGAACAAAATACTCCAATTTTTAAAATGTTAAAATTGCTAAAGGAAAAATATATTGTGTCTGTTTTTCCCACATATGGCTAAAAGAATGAAAACAGATAGTGTTAAGCACACTGTAATTCTTTTGTAGAATGTCTGATTTATCATCATCAGTATGTCTTAATGAAAAGTTTTTTTCTTGATTTACAGTATTCCGAAGATATGAAGCACAAGACCACTCTTCTGGAGCTTCAAAAAATGTTTACATATTTAATGGTATGTTTGAGAATTGTGTATGGAAAACTAACTAGATATACCCTTTGACCAAAAGTGAAAACATTAATTGGTGTTTATTTGTGTTGACTTTGTCCTGACTATATATTCTTATTTTTCAAATTGAATTTGTCAGTTACTGATGTTCTTTGTCATAATGAATTTTAACAGTCACATTTCAGTCATTTACATTTTGTTAATTTATCCTTTGGAAAATTTCTTGTATCTGATCCTTTTCCCATCATGAGGCCACTCCCCCAGTACTCCCCTTACCCCTTAGTGTTAGGGTTTTCTGACCAATTTCTCTTTATCTCTCTTAATTCCCACCCCTAAAACTATCAAAGTAATCAATCTTGAAAGAATAGCAAATCTTAAAATATTACTATCCTAGTTAAAGCTCTTAAGTGATTTTTTTATTATGAACAGAATGATATTCAGATTTAATCAGCATAGCGCATACCCCGTGTGATTTTTGCCTTTTCTCTTTAACCTCCTCTCCACATCCAGCCTTACCCTGTAGTAACCGTAAGCCTTTAGAAGTCCTTCACCCTGTTGCTTCATCACTTGTGCAGTTACTATCTTGCTCCTTCTGTCTGTGGCTCTCTTCTGTTAGTGCTCTTCTCCATTTTCTTCCTTTTGTTATCCTTCGAGAATCAACTTGATTTTCTTGAGAAAGCCTCCCCTCTAAGAGACCAAAAATTGCAGAATATCTCTACGTCACCTTAATTCTGTTTTACCATCTTTTGTATTGACAGTTACTTGTCTCACCTGTTAGAATCTTAAGGACAGAAATCATACCATATTTATTCCTGTGTATTTCAGCTTCTAAGATTTAATGAGACTTTTTAACAAAAAGATTAGTTGAGTCCACTTTTAAATCTCCTTTTTTAAGAGCGTTGGAACATGCCATCTGAATGACAAAGCAGTTTTACTGCTGTTTTAAACTACTCAACAAAAGTTTAGTTTATGGGAAGCTTAATCACTCTGCAGAGACTTTGTATTTTATGCTTCCCAATGCAAATCTGTGTCCTTTGAGTCCCATATTCCTTCCTAGACATTTCTAGACTTAAAAAATAAAACTTTCTTAACTTATGGTAGGTTAAGCATCTCTGGCACTGAGAATGTTAAACTGAAAATGCCGTGAAAATTAAAAAAATGAAATAGTAGAGAGTGTTTTAGTACTTTATAGATTTACTACCTGTTTTGTTGTTGTTTTTTATTCAAGAACCTTGTGATAATTTTTATTTCTATTTGCGACTTAGAGTTGTTTATTTGATTGTTTTATAATCCTACTCCTTCCCCCCGACCCCTCCTTTTCTTTTACAGGAAAGTGAATGCAAAGCATATAATCCTAGACCCTTTTGTAAAACGTATACTATGGATAAACAGCCTCTGAATACTGGGGAGCAGAAAGATATGACAGAGTTTTTTACTGATCTTATTACTAAAATTGAAGAAATGTCTCCAGAACTGGTTAGTACTAGAATATTGAAGTTTCTTTGAAATTTGTATGGATTTGCCCAATTTTAATTACTGACTTTTGTTTTTGTTTTGTTTTGTTTTAAAGAAAAATACTGTCAAAAGTTTGTTTGGGGGTGTAATTACAAACAATGTTGTGTCCTTGGTAAGTATTCTACCTATTCTTTGCTTTTTGGAAATCTTAATGTATATTTTAGCTTATGATAAATGACTAATTTTTTACTATTAACTGACCAGGATTGTGAACACGTTAGTCAGACTGCTGAAGAGTTTTACACAGTGAGGTGCCAGGTGGCTGATATGAAGAACATTTATGTGAGTAATGCTGTATATATTTGTTAACATTTTTCTGCTTTTAACTGGTTGTACATAGCAGGCTTATGTTGTTACCTTGAAAAAAACATTAATTTCGATGTTTTCATCTATTTTCTTCTTGTGATGCTACTCAAATAAAAATTAAAGGCAGACCACAAAGCTGATTTTTCCCAATCAAAAGTTAAATACTTGAGGTTTTGAATAATTTGTAAGATTCATAGAGCATCTTGTGTTTTTACTACATTTGAGTTCACTTTTTTAAAAACTTTGTTTTCCTCTGTGCATTCTACCCAAATTGTAATTAATGCTTTTTATATTTTTGCATGTTGTAAACAATAATATGAAATAATATTCATTTGAAAATATGTGTTTATACACAGGAATCTCTTGATGAAGTCACTATTAAAGACACTTTAGAAGGTGACAACATGTATACTTGTTCTCATTGTGGGAAGAAAGTACGAGCTGAAAAAAGGTTTGCTTTTGAAACATAATTTTTATGATTTTGATAAATCATCAAATGGAAGTAAAACACAGACTTAGGATAAATTAATGTTAAACTTCTATGAAAATCATGTGGTTAAGGTTATGGTCAGCTGCTTGGAGCTCCTTCTCATACAGCAATTTTTCATTTAGTTACTCAAGTAACCTTTCAAGCATTCTTACATTTTTTTCCCCTTATTATTAATCAAATGTTTACCAACATCTATATAACTGCTTAGCTTTCTACCATGCACTCAATAGAGCATGATAAAGAGTCTACTCTTGAACTGAATACCTTTTCTGAATCTCTAAAGTGAGAGATTTTTTTCTCAAGAGCCAGCCATAAGGTGGTTGGTTTAGGACAAAGTAGTTGGATAAAGATGTTTCAATTCTACAGATGAACATTGAGTGACAAATAGAAATTAGATTGAAAGAGCATCTTATGCAGTTAGTTACTAGGAACAAAGGCAGAAAATTAGAGGTATAACTTTGTATGTACAGGAAGTCTGGGATTGGGCCATCCCTGCCTCAGGTAGATGATTTGCACTTACCAATAATAGAGAATAAAATTGGTAATATACAGTGACATCAAATGATTAAAATATAGATTTGAGGATTATCTGCATAATTAATTGATTGAAGCTATCAGAACATCTGCCTGAGAAAACATAACTGTTGCAAAGAACTCAGACCTAAGCCTGACTAAAAGTGCAGAGGAAAAAGTGACAGAATGGAAGCCAGGAAAGAAAAAGTCAGGATAGATAGGATTGTAATGCAGAAACTGGGAAAGAGAATGTCAAGAAGTTACTCATTCAAGTGACATAGTCCACAGAGATGGGAAAAAAAAATAACAGCTGAGTAAAATCACTGGATTTTTTTGAAAAGGTAGTTTAGTGATGTGTTTTGTGAGGCTGTAACAATAGAAGCAGAGTCATCAGAATATATGGTGTCAAGTATAGATCATTTTAGAAGTATGACAATAAGAAAACAGCAAGGAAGATGGAATCTAGAAAGAGCTTTGGGATCGAACAGAGGAGCTTTCTGCATGAAGTAGATCTGAGCATGTTTGAAGGCAAAGAATGAAAAGCCATGTCTTAGAATTGCTTAATAGATTTTTCCAGGTGAGTATACATTTGAAAAGAATATTTTTCTCAATCTCCAGAAGTCAAACTGGTTGCAAGAGAGAAAAGTTGTAGATGGACATGCTCAAAAGAAAGCATAGCTATACAGACAGTTACAGGTAGAAGACAAACTTATCTGACTAGAATTGGGTCAGGCCAAGAATTAAGGACTTACACAGAATGGAGTCAGTCAAAAGTTTGTTACTGTGGAGGAATATAAAGAGTCAATAAAAGATAATTGAGAGGCTGAATTCTTTGGAGAATCTTTTAGTTGAAATAAATAAACTTATTGAATAAATCTTTGATGTTCAAAGATTTGATAACTTTTGACTTCTTGAAACATTCCCTTCTTTTGGCTAATATGATTCTACTGTTTTTTTGAAATACTGTTAAATCTCTCCCAGGCAAAGTATTATTCAGACGTTTTGTGCTCTTATACTTTTAAATGTCTATAATAACATAGTAAGTGTTAAATAGAAATGGGCCAAGGATCATATTCTGTTCTGTCTTCAAACCTTTGGTTTCCTCAGTTTATTCATTCTTTCCTGAATAATTTTACCTATAAATTCTAACATCAATTTCTGCTGAAATGCTAATGCATCCCAAATCATTTTATCTAATTCAGAATGCTGCACAAGTCCTTTAATGATTCTTAGCTCTCACGATAAAGTTCATACTCTAACATTATCCATAAGGCTGTTCATCTTTTGATTCCTTTATGCTTCATAACCTCATCATTTACCAGTCTCCCAAATAACCAGTAATTATGAATTTTCAGAGTTTTTTTCCCTCTGCTTGTGACTTAGTTCCCCTACCTTCCCTGTCTCCCTAAATTCCTATTAAAAAAAAAAATTAAGCTTGGTTTAAACAAATTCTGGTTTGAATCCTTTATACAGTGAAGAATTATTCCCTGAAATTCGTATTTTTCATAAATCCAAGTTTTAATATGTATTTTATTTAAACTGAAATTTTGTTCTTTCAGACCTGAACTAGCAGTAAGTCACACCATAAAATTTAGGTAACCAGTTGACCTGCTGCTGCTATTGCTATTACTATTTTGGTTGTAATATCAGGCAACACTCATTGAATGCTATTTGCCAGGCAGTGTTCTAAAAGTAGTAAGGAGTAGGTACTTTAATTTCCATTTCACAAATCAAAGATTAAGCTCAGATGGGTTAAGTAACTTCTTTAGGGTCATACATCTGATAATTGAGACAGCCAGACTTAGCAATTCTAAGTGCACAAAAATTAATTCTTATTTAAAGTGGAGAAGAAAACTCTGAACCCAGGACCTCTTGCCTTTGGAATATGTTGTGACTCCTGTTTATGCATCCATAGCACCTCTACATGTCTTTGTCATGGTATATACCACAGTCTGCTATCGTTTTTTGTATTTTTTATCTAGACACAGGAAAGCCCTTTCATAATGGGAGAAGGCATGTAAGAGGGGAATAGATTGATTAGCTTGATTGATTGTGGATTTGATAAGAGCATGATTTTGAGTACTATTTATTATTTAGTCTGAGTTGAGTATTGAAATAAGTGTAATGTAAAGGTAATTGGTAACAGCTGGAGTACTTTTGAAAGATAATTTTTAACAAATTTTTTTTGTTTTTTTTGTTTGCCTTTCAGAGCATGTTTTAAGAAATTGCCTCGCATTCTGAGTTTCAATACTATGAGATACACATTTAATATGGTCACAATGATGAAAGAGAAAGTGAACACACACTTTTCCTTCCCATTACGTTTGGATATGACACCTTATACAGAAGACTTTCTCATGGGAAAGAGTGACAGAAAAGAAGGTAATTTTCCCTCTCTTTCTCTTGCCTATATTTATTGTAAGTTTCCATAACAAGATAATCATAATTATAAAGTTGCAATCAACTACACTTTTAACAAAATTAAATTGAATAGTAGAAAGGAGAATGTTTTTAAAAGACAGTATGGCATATTCAGTCAATTGACCAATATTTTGTGTCTACAAGGACTATGTTTCTGGCACCTTTCTTGGGCTTTGGGACACAGTAGTGAATGAGATAAACATGCTACCTGCCTTTGAAGAGCTTTAGTCTAGTGGGCACATGGTATATTGAATAAAAGTTAAAAACATGATGTGTTGTCAGATAGTGAATGTATCACAGATTGAGGGGAATCAGGGAGGGCTTTCAGGACAAGGTGACATTTAAGCAGAGCTTGAGTAAGAACCAGACTGAGTGGAATGGATATACTCTATGTTGGGGGTGGGATGGGGACAGCACTTAGTAGGTTGATGAGATTAGGCAAAAGGGTAGCAGCCAGATTTTGTTTGTAGGCCATGTTAGTAATTTTGATCTTTATTTCAGTGTGAAACAGTGGAAAGTTTTAAGCAGGGAACTGAGATAATCACATGGGATCTGGAAAAGGTTATTGTGACTATAGCCGTAGAGATGAATTAGAGAATGATAAAAGGAGTGTGGGGAGGCCATTATAGTAAACCATAGAAATGGTAGCATAGATAAGATAGCATACCAGTAGGGTTGGAGAGAAGTGTATGTTGAAAGAGTGAACAGAATTTAATGACTCCATGAATAAATAAATCCAACAAAGTTACTGAACATTTATCTACTATGTAACTTGCTGTTACAGGAATGGGAATTTAGTGACAACAGAGAACAAGGTCTTTGTCCCTATGAAGCTTACAGTTTTGTCAGTCTGCTATTAGAGGGAGGAGGAAAAGTTAACAGCGGTTTCTGGCTTGATCAGCTAGGTGAATAGGATGAGTATTTCAGGATCTCAGGAAAGAGGGAATGTGGTCAGAAGTATTAAATGCTAAAGAAAAGGAATAGTTCCAGTAATAACATGACTGAAAATTAACTAATACATTGGAGGTCTTTTGGTTATCAGAACAGTTTAAGTTTGGTGATGTAATAGAAAGTCAGGTTACACTGAGTTAAAAATGGCATTTGGCTTGTAAGTAGTTAATTCTGAACTACTATTACTTCTGTAAGACCACGTAAGACCGTTGATTTTCAAACATCTGTGTATATATATGGCCCAAGAACCACAGTGAAGAACAGAAATAGATGAGAGGAGAGAAGAAAGCAGAATACCTTTCTTAACCTTTTCCATTCTTCTTTAGCCAGAGAAGTTTGATTTTATATAATAAGTGTCCCTGGCAATATTTTCTTTGTATAGAAAGTTATGCTGACTTAAATTTTTAAGATTCGAAGAGCCACCATATTATAAGATTTAGGAAAGAGAAACCATATTTTAATTTTTATACTGCATTACCTGACACTTAATGAGCATCCAGTAAATGTTTTACTCTCATTAAATGTGAGATTAGAGGTATAAACAATGACTGTAGGCTATTCTTTCCAGAGAAGAACATACCCTTTCTTTGAAGAGAGAAGATGGTAACTGTAGCTATGAGGGGTTAAGGGATTGAATTTTAAAGTTAGAATTTGAATAGATCTAGGATTTGTAGGAAATGACCCAGAAGAGATAAATTTGGAAATGTAGACAAAGAAATGAGTATTGTATATATACATCATACTTTTTAGAACTTTTTCAAACCATTTGTAAAATTAATGCAAGACTGTGTAGTAACTGTGCTTTACTGTATTTTTCATGCTGCCTCCATGTGCGGAAGTAGCAAAAATTTATGTCAAGATAAAAGAATTTATTAGGCCACAAGTGACGCATTCAGAGTCAAATACTAGTGCATCTAAACTCCTCAGCCACTGCTTTGACATTGTCACCTACTTCTTCCTCTTCGCCTAATTGTCACTTCACTTTTCAGGTTAGGCTGTGCACTCACGTAGACCAAATCTGCTCTCATTTTTTGCTTCCAATTACACTCCTTTCTATGTGATGGTGGGAATACAGATAGTAAATCATACATCTTCTGTAAATTTTTCCTTAGTAACTTTTATACCTTTCACATTGAAATCTCCTTGGTTTGGAAGTATATATTTTATTTCTCTCTACGTAAAGCTTCCAATACAGGGTGTTTTCTATTAACCGATAAACAGTTGGAAGCATTCAACCATTTCCCTTAACCTGAGACTAACAGGCATAAAAATGTTACTGCCTTTCAGATTTTGTTTGCCTGCTCCTCATAAAGATAGTACAGAGTGTTTCATTCAAGTTTATCCATTTCAAAAGAAATAGCTAGATTAAACAAAAAGAACACATTTTATGTTTACATGTTACAATGAGGTTGTCCATAGTTATGCACTAACACGTGGTTGTTTTCCAACGGTTTGTATAAATGTTCCTTAAACTTGTAGGCTATGGATGGTGAATGACTAGCAAATGGAGTTGTTTTGTACCTGTTTTCATGTATAAAGTGTGCCTATTTCTGTGCATAAAAAATACAGTATGTAAAGTGGTTCTAAGGTGTCACTGTGTGCAGCTTTCAAAATTATTGCCATTGTTTTATGTAAATCATTTCAGGTTTTAAGGAAGTCAGTGATCATTCAAAAGACACAGAGAGCTATGAGTATGACTTGATAGGAGTGACTGTTCACACAGGAACAGCAGATGGTGGGCACTATTACAGCTTCATTAGAGATATAGTCAATCCACATGCTTATAAAAACAATAAATGGTGAGTTTTAACTATTTTATTCTTGGGATTTGAAAAAATCTTTTTTTCTGTTCTTAAAGTATAAGATTTTGATAGCTTTTTCTTGAAATAGTTTTCTGATTTTAGTTTTCTAAAAACTTTCTATAAAGTTGGGAAAGGGGGTACATAAAGTGTTGAAATGAAAGCAGCTTTCAAAAGATAGTATGAATCTGTTGTTCTTAAACTTCATAGATCTCCAGACTTTTGAGAATTTGGATGAATGCTTGCCTGAGAAAAATGAGCACAAAGTTTTGCACACAATTTTAGATTCATAGACAATATTAACACCTTCCAAATCTTACCTCTCTGTGTTCACTTATTCAAGAACTGTTTACTGAATACCTTCTACAGTGTGACCACAAAGTCCTTATATATTCCAGTTAAAAATTACCTGCATACTTCGTTCTTTTCACCTTACCTTTCCCTTCTGACACACACATTCTTTTTATCATCTTTTATCAAGTTAATGGTTGGATGTCACTGATAGCTGGTTTTTGGTTTTTGGATGTTGTTGGGTCAAGTCTCAAGTATAGACTGTTGCTGTGCTAGGGAATGTTGTAAGTGTTACAGATACTGCTTTGAGCAGGGTATACATAGATAAGTTGATCTGCAGTTGACAGGATAGTTTTGTTCAACTATATGTCACTCTTTAAGCCATCATGTCCATGGTATCTCTTACTTTTTTGTTCATGTGAATATATTTCTATATTTTGAATCTTTTTTGTTCATAAATTTTATTTTTTTTATTTATTTTGGGCAGGGGGGTAATTAAGTTTGCTTATTTATTTTTAGAGGGGGTACTGGGGATTGAACTCAGGACCTTGTGTATGCTAAGCATGCACTCTACCACTTGAGCTATACCCTCCTTGCTTGTTCATAAATTTTAAAATGGTGTCTTTATCATTGTAAGTTCTCCATTCTCTTAATGTTTTCTAATAGCTTTACATGTAATGTGTATATTTTTCTATGTCTGTGAGTCTTTCTGTTTTGTAAATAAGTTCATTTGTGTCATATTTTAGATTATACATGTAAGTGAAATGTGCTATTTGTCTTTCTCTGTCTTACTAGTAAGTGACTTACTTCACTTAGTATCATAACCTCTAAGTCTATCCATGTTGCTGCAAATGGCATTATTTCATTCTTTTTATGGCTGAGTAATATTCCACTGTGTATGTGTATATATTTAGGTTGTTTCCATGTCTTGGCAATTGTAAACAGTGCTGCTGTGAACATTGGGGTGCATGTATCTTTTCAAATTAGAGTTTCATCCAGATACATGCCCAGGAGTGAGATTGCTGGATCATATGGTAACTCTATTTTTAGTCTTTTAAGGAACCTCCATACTGTTTTACATAGTGGCTGCACCAATTTACATTGCCACCAGCAGTGTAGGAGGTTCCCTTTTCTCCACACCCTCTCCAGTGTTTGTTATTTGTCGATATTTTTAATGATGGCCATTCGATGGGTGTGAGGTAATACCTCTTTGTAGTTTTGATTTGCATTTCTCTGATAATTAGCAGTATTGAGCATCTTTTCATGTGCCTGTTGGCCATCTGTATGTCTTTGGAGAAATGTCTGTTAGGTCTTCTGCCCATTTTTTGATTGGGTTGTTTGGTCTTTTGTTATTGAGTTGTATGAGCTATTTGTATATTCTGGAAATTAAGTATTTGTTGGTTGCATCATTTGCAAATATTTTCTCCCAATCTGTAGGTTGTCTTTTTGATTTGTTTATGGTTCCTTTGCTGTGCAAAAGCTTGTAAGTTTAATTAGGTCCCATTTGTTTATTTTTGCTTTTATTTCTATTGCCTTGGGAGACTGACCTAAGAAAACATTACTATAGTTTATGTCAGAGAATGTTTTGCCTTTGTTCTCTTCTAGGAGTTTTATAGTATTATGTCTTATATTTAAATCTTTAAGCCATTTTGAGTTTACTTCTGTGTACAGTGTGAGGGAGTGTTCTGTCTTCATTGATTTACATGAGGCTGTTCAGCTTTCCCAACACGACTTGCTAAAGAAACTGTCTTCTCATTGTTTATTTTTGCCTCCTTTGTCAAATATTGATTGACCGTAGGTGTGTGGGTTTATTCCTAGCCTCCCTGTTCTGTTTCATTGATCCATGTCTGTTTTTGTGCCAGTACCACACTGTTTTGGATTACTATAGCTTTGTAGTATTGTCTGAAGTCTGGGAAGGTTATGCCTCCAGCTTTGTTCTTTTTCCTCAGTATTGCTTTGGCAAGTCTGGATCTTTTATGGTTCTGTATAAATTATAGGATTATTCTAGTTCTGTGAAAAATGTCATGGGTAATTTGATAGGAATTGCATTAAATCTGTAGATTGCTTTGGGTAATATGGCCATTTCAGCCATATTAGTTCTTCTAATCCAAGAGCGTGGGATACCTTTCCATTTCTTTAAATCATCTTCAGTTTCCTTTATCAATGTCTTATAATTCTCAGCATTATAAGTCTTTCATCTCTTTGGTCAGGTTTATTCCTAAGTGTTTTATTTCTTACTGATGTAATTTAAAAAGGAATTTTTTTTTAAATTCCCCTCTCTGATATTTCATTGTTAGTGTATGAAAATGCAACAGATTTCTGTATTTTAATCTTACGTCCTGCTAACCATCTGATTTGATCAGTTCTAGTAGTTTTTGTGTGGAGTCTTAGGG